TCAGTTCTTAGCCTACTCTTTTGTAGGAGCGTTCGATCATTCGTTTACTTTATTTTTTGATTTGACCGTTCAGCATAGGAAGGGTTATAAGTCGTTCGTTCTATATTTGTAGTCATTTGTACAATTTTAACTCTTTGCTATTTTTGTAAGACCGTTCGGCCATAACCGTATTTCCTATCTTTTGTAAAAACTAAGCTGTAATATTATTATATGTGATCTTTCTATTATATGATTTTACACTGTATTTTTGGGATGTTACATATCTCAGTAAATGAATATTTTTTATAAATTTTATATTGATATAATTTAAAAAAATATTTTTTAAAACAATATTTAAAAATAGTCATAATTTGGCATTGGGGAGACTAATTTTGGACTTGAAGAATTGCTTGGGTTTTGGTAGGTATATTGTGAATAGGTTGCTTTTTATACATTTTTTTCAAAGAAAAGAGAAAAAATTTAGGAGAAAAAGATTAAAAAGGTTTTTTTGAAAAGAAAAGATTTTCTTGGTTTTTAAACTTGTATCAGAAAACAATTCCTGTAGATACCTAAATTAAATCACAATGCTTAAAGTAAGTGCAAATATATTACTAATTTAGATTTCGGTATTATCCAAATCTAAATATACCTTTCTCACACTAAACTAATTTAAGTATCTTTCTGCAAGCACCTATTGATCCATTTTAATCCAGCTTTCAACCATTTGATTATCACGGGAGCAGTATAATAAATTCAATCTTGTGAAACACCATTCTACTTTTCTGTAAAACAACACAACGTTTAGATGAATTGATGTTGAAACTTTTGTCCAACTTGCTTCCTTGGTTGAAGAAGAAATAAAACATTTTAGATTATGAAAACGATTTGTCCATTTTCCCTGACTGGTAATACCACTTCAACAAGCAACTTCCAAACTTCCCGTGGCCACGAATAGATGTACTTGCCCACAACTTTGTCTCATGTGGGCCAAACAATGGATTTCACCTGAGCAAAATTCATCATCTACCCAACACAAGTCAATGAACCAAATCTTTAACTTGTATATACTCCAACCAATGCCTATATTCTATAGTAATCAGCATTTTACCCAACCAATTTCCCTACATGACAGACATCTCTATGGTACGATATTAGGCTGAAAGCAGAGTGAGAAACAGAACATGCAGAAACATGGAATGTCACTAATAAATCAGAACTGTTCCATATCAGAAAATTACAAACCTAATAAGTCGCATTTAGATCTAACAACCAGTAATCATGGTTCTTTATTAAGCTCAATAAGAATCTAATTCTGGTGTAAGATTCATAATGAAACATGTTAACACGAATACGGACAACAATCTCACCAACTCTCCAAGCTTTTCAAAGCACAATCATTGTACTTCCCCTCCTTTCAAAGCAAGTGAATAATGCTTACAATCACATGAAAAGCACCAATTATCTGATGAGTATTCACTCCATTCATCAACACAGGATTGTTTCATTTATTTATCTCCAGAGACTAAACTTTCAGAGTCTGTGCAAATGAAGTAGGATAAAAACAGGGAACATTAAAGTTTAGCCATTTAAATGTTCCAACAAAATCGAAGCCAAAACCGTTCATCCAATACAAAAATGGAGAGAGGAAGAGAAAAAGAAAAAAAAAAGATAGACTTTATCCAAGTTTGGTCCATCAACTAACATGTTTCCAGATTCTATACCAAGCACAGAGCAAAAAGAGCATCCGAAAACGAAGTTACGTGGAGCGAAACTATCACTTTCATGGATAGTGCAGAGAAGCTATCAAAATTTAACTTCCCCACCTCAACGGGAGAGAGAAAGAGATAGAAATGGAAAGTAAGTAAAATTAAATTAATCAATCAAGAAAACCGGTTTGGCGCAAAACGGCGTTTCTAACCTGACGGAGATCCCTCCCTTTGAGGGTTCTCCCAACTCCTTCCAACACCGAAAAAGTGGTTTTGGGCGAAACGCCAGAGCCTCTCGCCACAATTTCGTGCGGCGGCAGCATCTCCTCGTCATCATCGTCGTCATCGATCACGCGCGCGAATTCGTCGGCGTTGCGGCGCTTGGAGGCGCCGGCCGCAATCAGAATAGGAACCTTGACGGGCGCCGATTGCTGGAACTTTCTAGAAGGTGCGGACTGCGCAAGGTAGTCGGAGGCCGGCGGCCTCGGCAGCGACGGAATCGTCATGCGCGAGGAGGTTTGAACAGGGGACTTGCCGCGGAACACGCCGCCACGGGAATCCGGCTCCGTGAGCACGACGAGGATTCCGGAATCGACGGGGCGATCGAAGTTACGGAGGCGAGGCTTGGGCGAGGGCGCGTGGTGTTGGGGTTCCGATTCAGGGGAATCGGCCGCCCAGAAAAGCTCGGCTTCGCTGAGCTCATCGGCAGGGGAGGGGGGTGCAGCAGCGGTGGCGGGGTAGCGACCGAGGAGGCGGTGGGAGGATGAGGAGGAGGATCGGCGGTGGAAGGAGGGTGTGGGGTCCATTAGTTGTTATTTTTTTTTTGTTTGGTGTGGGGATAGGAAAGAGTGGAAGAGTGAAAGAGAGGAGTGAATGTGAATGGGAAAGAAAATGAGAGGGTGATGTGGCGGAGGGTCGCAGAGTGGTAAATAAAACCAAAAGAATGAGAAAATGTTAAACCTCTTTTTCTGTGGGACCCGCTTTCAACCATGACGTGGCAAAGTTGCTAATAAACGGGTTTCAGTTTTCTCCTCTTTGTCCAGTCATAGCCTGGAAGTCCTCATACAGATCTTGAAAACCAGAATTCAAATTCAAGCCACGCATTCAATCCAAACACCAAGGTCCACTTACCACTTCAAACAAGGTACACTTAACTTTTAAAAAAAATTCATTTATTTATTTTTTTTACTTTTTTTCTGTATTTTTCTATATGTTTAAGTGTGACTTTCATTTAAATAAGTTAAATTTCGTTTAATATTTTTTTTCCAAAAATTACTCTTACTTCTACTTTATTTCCATGTATATATTTTTTCTTCTTCTAAATATTCAAATAAACTTTTTATCAATTTATTTACTTTACCTAATTACTGATGATCTCTGACATGCATAAATAGACTCTCCAGACCTGATTTTTCTTTTCTTTTTTTTATTTCTTTATTTATTTTTTAATTAAGTTACATTGATTGTTTAGTTTTAATTTAATAAAACTGATGAATTTGTTTAATAACTAATATGTTTAGTATGATTTTATGTATAGAGTAATTGTTTAATATTTAATTTTTTTTAAAGACTAGGAGTTTTAATTAATAATTATTAATATTTAATTTGATTCTTTTAATATTATTAGAATAATAATAACAGACCATCACCTTAAAAGTATGCTAACATAAAAATAATAAATTTATTTTAAATATGAAAGGTTACCTTTTAAAATAAGTTTGAAAAAGTTTATTTAAATTAATATATAGCGAATTGTAATTTTTTTCCGAACCTACTCAAACGCCAAAAGATTATTCCAATGACCATGTGTTAAAATATTTATATTAAATTTATTTAAATATAAATTAATAAATATAATAATTTAATTTAAAACAATATTAGATATTTTATTAGTCTAATGTTTCAATTTAATTTAAATTAAATATTGCAATAATTTAGAATAAATAATGTAATACAAAGTAATATTAAATGTTGTTCTTAATTTTATTTGGAAAAAAATCATTAGTATTAATAATGACATATAAAAAATTATTTTATATAAAATAAATTTGAGTGATTATGTTAATATTAATTAATATTTAAGGGAAATGTATTTATTAATAAATATTTATTTACTTTATTTCTAATAATATAAAATTTTAATTGGTAGTATGAGTAAATTTTGTAGTTTATTGTTTGTAATGAAGGAACTTATAGATTAAAAAATTAAGTAATTTTTCATTAATAATTGAAATTTAAGTGTATTACACCCAAATATTATATTAAACAAAAATCAAACAAAACTTTTTTAATATTTTTATTTTTATTTGTTTATATTTTTATTTGTCTTTTATTTTAATGTATATGTATTTAATTTAATATTGTTAGCAAAGTTTCTGTTTTTGTTTTGATTAAGAATTTATTTTAAAACTATTTAAGATTAGTAAAAGAATACTTGATTTTTAAGTTATTTATTACTAGAAGTGAATTCAATAACATTGTATTTATTTCTTTCTTAAAACCTAGTGGGATATTTTTATCAATTTTTTCAACGAAAATTACGTAAGTTGTGCAAAAGTTTGTGATTTGAGTTTTGTAGTGAGAAAAATCTTCAACATAGCCACAACAAAAACCATACCACCTTCATCCCCTTCATTTATAAATATATTTTATAATCGTTCACCTGACCAAAATCCTATAAATATATTTTTTTTTTATCCTTCACCTTATCAAAACCCAAATATAATGACTCAAATAATCATCAAACAATTATCCACTATCTAATAATGTCATCACTAACACCAACATAGGATATTCATAACACTTACATAGGATATCCAAAAGAAGAGTATGAGTTCATAAATGATATACTAAATGTCTTCCCAAAACTTAATGGGTTATTAGGAAAAAATCCACATAAACACTTAAAAACAATATCATATCTCAGTAAAACATGTTTTTCTAGAATTTGTTGATGTTGATCTGGTTTTGAAACTTGAAACAAATTATTTTTACATTTTTTAATGAACCAATTTAACTTCAGTTATATCAATAAACATTTTAATATTAAAAGATATTTATATAACTAAGTATATCATATTTTATTACACAAACTCAACATATCCATTTATCATAAATCTTATTTAAATCAATATTTTAAACAAAAAATTTAATTAAAATTTTAAAATTAAACCTTTAACTATTGCATGAATATGCACTCATTTTACTTTTCTTTGTTCGAGTAATAAATATAATTTATTTTACAAATATATCCTTTATTCATTGTGACTTTATATAAATATTTTGTCAAAAGCTAATTAGTGTACTAAAAACATTACTTAAGACATAAATAATGATCCTTAATTCTCTACATTTAATGTTAAAATAAAGAATAATTAACTTCACTGATTAAAATAATATAAATTAATATAACAAATTCTCTAGAAACAAAAATATTATTTTTTTTCTTTTATACCCTATTTTCTAAACATAAAACAGATACTTTATAATTTCAATAGTCTACACAGTGTCTTTATGTCCAGTACTTTTAAAATTTCACACAATTTGCTTTTCGGAAGTTTAAAGAGGAGTTTGAAAGATGCATCCAATATTCAATTCTTGATATTCTTGATGAAAATAGTAATGTAAATGTGTTGCAATATTATAAAGATGCAAATAGTAAGAAACATAAGGTATTTTGGGATGGTAAAATAGTTGGTTTGTGGTTGTAAGCATTTTGAGTTTTGGGAAAATTATGTCATCATATTCTCAGCAATTTTATTCATAAAGATTGCCATGTCCCTTACAACTACTTGCCATCACAATAGCAACGTTCAAGTACAACAGACTGTTGTTGAGGAATAAGTAACAATGAAAAATTGTTGAGAATGAAATTGCGGCAGTTTAAAATAATGTTTGTTTGTTTAATACATGAAAAATTGTTAATTTAACAGGAATGTTGCAAAAGGTTATCAAGAAATCAGAATGAAATATCAAATTCCTATTTTATTTGTTTTTTTTTTAAATGTTAAATGTTTAACATTTTATTACTTTCGTTAATACACTCAGTTGCTTATTTCTTTTTGTTGATTTATATGTTAATTTAAGCTTTTTTTACATTCAATTATATTTTAATTTTTAGCAACATTAAAATAAAAGAAGAATTAAAAAAACAGAGAAATTGCACAAACATTAAAAGTATTTTATTATTTAATTATGTTTTAACTTTTTTGTATGTATCAAATAAATTATCAATTACAATTGTATAATACTTATGAAAATTTTTATCCTCTAAATAAAGTTAAATTACATTAATAATTATTGAAATCATAATTCACTTAATATCATAGTTAATTATAAAAGTTTGTAAAATTTAATTATTAATAATTATTCTTAACCACTGATTGAGAGATCCTAAATATTTTATACAGACAATCAATCTATTTATGTCCCATGTTTTTCAGAAAACATAATTTATTGGAAGTTGTTTCCTAACCACTTATCAGAACATTTGGAACACATCAAATAATTTTTAGATAAATTGATTTATGAATAAAATTCCAAACCTAACTTGAAGTGGACATCAATATTTTATTTCAGTGACTTCTTTCTAGTCACAATCTAAAAAGTCTGTGACCTTTTGAATCACGTTAATAAGGTGCATGAAGAGTAACATTTCTGTCAGTAAAATATTTTTGTGGTAAAAATTATTTTAAAATATTAAATTTAAAAAATATATTAAATAATTAAAATAATATTTTTTTAAAATTATTATTATTATTGTTAATATTATTATTATTATTATTAAATAACTAATATTCCTATTCTACAGTTGTAAATTAAAATTTATTAAATAACTAATATTCCTATTTTTCATACATTGAAAATTATTAAATTATAAATTATTAAATAACTAATGCTCTTATTCCCTTCACGTTGGAAATTATTAAATAGAATAATATTGTAAAATGTTTCCGCAAATCACCTTCCATCCACGAGATGGGATATTGAACTGATTCTGCAAATTCGTACTTTAATTTAATATCAAATATTTACAAAGGACACGTTATTTCTTTGCAAATATTTCTTTTTCAATCTCTTTGTAGTAAATCCTTTTAAACGAATAATAAAACCTAAAATTTTGAGTAACAGTGACACCTACGGTCATGAAAGTAAATTATTGTTTTGATGAAAGTCATGAGATTGTGGTTTTGAAAAACAAAAAGAAAACTGCCACGAGTGAGAATGTTAAAAATAGAAGACAAAATATTTCATCTACATTTTTTACAGTGTATCTGTATATGCGAATGTCCTATAAACCAGGACATAAAAGCAAGTGTGATGGGTGTTGGGTTCATTTGATTCGTGATCAAATGTAATAAATGTTATGTTTGAATATCTTTCGGACGTGAAGGGCTGTGTCGTCCAATGTTTCCACATTCCTCTATGTTCGTATTTCGTATGTCCAGTTCTCTGTTCTCGTTACTCAATTTCCTCCTCGGCTCGTGGGAGGAGACCTGCGAAAGATTCTTCGATGTCAAAGTCAGTTGAGAGCAATGACATTTTTCTATCGAACAGTAATAAATGTGTAATAAATGCAACGCTATGTGCTTGGGATTAGTGAAAAGTTAATCACGGTCCAAATTCAGCCCAATAGCTTTTAACCTCAACTTACCTTAAACATGGTTAATTAGTAGCACGGCCGGCCGGTCTCCCAAAGTTTGGCTTTTTCAGCCAGCCAATCCCTACAGGTGGTATGACCGGCCGACCTCATCACTGTTTATCCGGATGGCGAGGGGCAATGTTGCGTGATCGCGGTCGCACGGGCGTCCGGCTTGGTGTGCCGAACCCTCGATGATGAACCGAGGAGTAGCATGTTTGGTCTATTGTGGACGTCCGGCCTATCTGACGTCCGGTCCCTACTGATACAAAATATATTTATAAGTCATTTAATCGTGTAATAAGTGTAAGAAAGGTAAAAATATATGAAATTGATTATGTAGCATTCCATGTATTATTGTGTGTGAAACAATGGTCCTTGCATTGATAAACCAATCCTAGCTCATGCATGTTATTCCATGTTCAAATTCACTATGCTTTGTCAAGTAATTATTATCAA